TCATGCATGCAAGGCAAGCGCTCTACCAATGAGCCATCTTCCCAGCCCCAAAAGGTTGATTTTTTTTTTTTAAGAATCTGTTGATAAGGTGTATTGATGGATTCTTCTATAAATCAATGCTGTTTGCCTCAGAACAAACGATTGGAGGCCACCCTGGTTAAAAAGTGAGCAAGACACCCCCCCCCATATCAGCAGATAAACTAGACACGGTGTGGTACACATCTCTAATCCCTACCTGCTTACCTAGAAGCATTGGTAGGGATAGTGGTCCTTGGCAAGAGTGAGACCCTATCTGAAATGGAAGAACAGCTAGTCCATGCAAAAATACTAGGCCCTGTTTGGGAACTAGTATCAAAATGGGTAAGTGTGGCTCAGTAGTAGAGCACCTGCCTAGCAAGAACAAGGCTTGAATTCAAAAAGTAGTATGCCCCCCCCATCCCCCACCCCCCCCAAAAAAGTATTGTTCTACTCCGTTGGAAACAAGTTTAGAGAAATTAAAGATAGTACAGCAAGTGGTAGAGTAAGAAAATCTTGTCTGGATCCAGAGTCTGATCAAATCCCCATGGTCTCTAAGGATAAAAATGTATCTTCTTCTCTGTCCTAGTTGTCCATTGTGTTCATGCTTTTTGTGGCATACAAGGTGCATCTTTTTGAAACTACTGACAGACCTGGGCAAGGTATTTTAAGCTTGTGGTCCTATCACCTGGAAGGCAGAGGTGGGGAAGCCAGCTTGAAGCTACCCAGGGCACAGAAGTTCTTGAGACTGTTGTTGCAAACTGTGGCTGGGCACCATGGCACTCACCTGTCATCCTAGCAACAGAAGGAAGCACAAATAGGCTTATGGTCCAGGCTAGCCGTAGCATAAAGTGAGATGCTGTGTCAAACAGGAACCAGTGGTTCACGCCTGTAATCCAGCTAATCAGGAGGCTGAGATCTGAAGAACACGGTTCAAAGCCGGCCTGGGCAACAAAGGCCCTGACACTTGTATCTCCAATAAACTACCAGAAAACCAGAAGTGGTGCTGTGGCTCAAGTGGTAGAGCACTCTCCTTGAGCTGAATTCCTCAGGGACCCTGCCCAAGCCCAGAGTTAAAACCCCACAACTGACAAAAACAACAAAAAAGATTTAGTCTGGTGCCAGTGGCTACTTAGGAGGCTGGTATCTAAGGGTCATGGTCTGAAGTTAACCTGGGTGGGAAAGTCCATGAGACTTTTTGTGTGTGTGTGGTGCCAGTCCAGGGGCTTGAACTCAAGGCCTGGGCACTGTCCCTGAGCTTTTTTTTGCTCTACCACTTCCAGCCTTTTCTGTGGTACTGAGGAATTGAGCCCAGGGCTTCGTTCATGTTACGCAATCACTCTACCTCAAAGCCACATTCCTAGCCACCAGGAGAGTCTTATCTCCAGTTAATCAACGAAAAGCCTGGAGTTTAGCTGTGGCTCAAATGGTAGATCATTCGCTTTGAGTAAAAGCCTAAGTAAAGGACAGCATCTAGACCTTGAGTTCAAGTCCCCCAGTACTGGTGTATCTACACAAACAAGGTAGCTCAGTGTTCCCCAGTACTGGTGTACCTACACAAAATAATATAGCTCAGTGTTGATGGCTCATACCTGTAATCCTACTACTGAGGAGGCTGAGATCTGAGGATCCCTTGTTTGAAGCCAGTCTGTGAGAGTCTCTTCAAAAAAGCCAGTGAAGAGCTGGGCTAGATGGAGTTATGGCTCAAGTGGTAGTCAGCAGCCAAACAAGCATCAGGGCCTGTGTTCAAGCCCTGGTAGCAGACAAAAATAACTAATGCAGACAGGGACTGGTAGAGTGGCTCAAGTCGTGGAGCATCTTCTTTGCCCTGAGTTCCACCCTAATACCTCCCCCTCCCCCCACCCCCCAAAAAAGTCACGAACTGAAATATTTTTCCTGTTTAGATTTGGAGCAAGAGGTGGTGGTGGCCTTCCCCCGAAGAAATTTGGTAACCCTGGGGAGCGCTTGCGTAAGAAGAAGTGGGATCTGAGTGAGCTTCCCAAGTTTGAGAAGAACTTCTATGTAGAACACCCAGAAGTGGCCAGGCTCACTCCAGTAAGTGTGGGGGTGTGGGGGTGCACTTGCACACGCACGCATGCAGTTGTATTTATGTTTAATACCAGCATTTATGTTTAATACCATTAATCAGGGGCCAGAGATAATTGTATACTGCCGTCCTAGTCTTCAGAAGACCCCTTTGAGAGACTGGCGTGGACCGCACGCACTGTCTCACTTCTCCGGACGCATTGTGCTTCTTGCTGTGTTTTCATACAGGATTTTAAACTTTCTATTACATAGTTCAGGCCTTCACATCTCTGAAGCTTAATTACCTTTTTAAAAGTTTGCTTATGAAGTAAAGGTGAAAAATTGGTATGTTTTTAAACCTCATTTTGAGGATTCTACTTAAGAACTATTTGCTTGTTCAGAAAAATAAGGAAATGCTGGTAGTTACTTGGACCCAAGCCCCACATCTTTTCCCTCTTCTAGTTCTGATCTTATATACAAGTGACTTACTTTTTTCCTCCTGTACAAGATGGAACCCTTAATCATCTACATCTTAGTTAATGGGATGGTATAATAGGTGTTCTGACTTGGAACATGAAGTATGCTGTTAGGGTACTAGGGTTTAAAATCAGGACCTCACCTTTGGTAGGTAGATGCTCTGTCACTTGAACCTCACCATGCCTGGAAGCAAGTTTTGAATATAAACCAAGACCCTTCTACTAACTTACCCTTACTTCATCTTTTTCTGTAGTATGAGGTTGATGAGCTACGCCGAAAGAAGGAGATTACAGTGAGAGGTGGAGATGTTTGTCCTAAACCTGTCTTTGCCTTTCATCATGCTAATTTCCCACGTAAGTACCTTTCAGTCCAGAGGAGTTCAGTTTGGTTGTTAATAGTTGTTAAATTTAGTTGAGCAATAAACATGTGATAGTTTCTCACCTTTCCTTTAAAGACAGTAATTTATGTAATGGTTTCAGGGTTTTTTGTTCTGTTTTTATCGGTAATGGGGCTTGAGCTCTTCAGCTCAAAACAAGCGCTCCAAAAAGAAAAAAGCCGGAAGTGGTGCTGTGCCTCAAGTGGCAGAGCGCTAGCCTTGAGCTGAAGGACAGCGCCCAGGCCCAGAGTTCAGGCCCCACGACCGGACCCAAAAAAAACAAGCGCTCTACCACTTGAGCCACAGCACCACTTCCAGTTTTCTGGTGGTTAATTGGAGATACAAATCTCATGGACTTTGCTGCCCAGGCTGGCTTTAAACTGTGATCCTCAGATCTCAGCCTTCTGAGTGGCTAGGATGACAGGTGTGATCCACCAGCACCCTGCTGTTTTCAGTTAAACTAAAAACTACTGTTAACTCTGTTGACACAGAAGAGTTGTGGAGGGGCGTTTTGTTTTGCTGGTCTTGGGTTTTGAACTTAGCGCCTCACCGCTTGCTTGCTCACTGGCATTCTAACATTTGCACCACACTGCTGGCCTAGTTACTTGCTGTTTGGGGAAATGAAGTCTTCACAGACTTGTTTGCCCAGACTGGCTTCAAACTGTTCCTCCAGATCTCAGTCTCTGAAGTAGTTAGGTTACAAGCATAAGTTACTGATGCCTGGCTCACAGGGAATTTGGTTACTTTTCATACTCATCTGTTCTCCAGTTTAAAAGCATTTTCCCTTAGTTTTTCAACTTCTAAGGCTTTCCCTCTGCTTTCTACAAAGCATCAGAATGAAATTGCTTTCTAGTTGAATATAATACGAATTTGACAGCTGGATGTCGGTGGCTTATGCTTGTAATCCTAGCTACTTAGGAAACTGTGATCTGATGATTGAGGTTGGAAGCCAGCCTGGGAGGAAAGTATAAGAGTTATTTCCAGTGAATCACCAAAAGGCTGGAAGTAGAGATGTGGGTTAAGTGGTAGAGAGCAAGCACCTGTCTTGAGTGCCCAGGCACTAGGATCAGCATAAAAAGAAACAACATGCAGCTGGGAAGGTGGCTCAGTGGTAGAGCGCTTGCCTTGCATGCCTGAGGCCCTGGGTTTGATTCCTCAGCACCACTTAAGCAAAAAGAAAAAAGCCGGAAGTGGAGCTGTGGCTCAAGTGGTAGAGCGCTAGCCTTGAGCTGAAGAGCTAAGGGACAGTGCCCAGGCCCAGAGTTCAGGCCCCACGACCGGACCCAAAAAAAAGAAACGACATGCAATAAGTGATTGTCATGTGCCTGTGTTTAGACACAAACAGACACCCCCCCCCACCGCCCCTTTGTGGGGCTAGTGGTTAGTGAACTCTCTTGTGTATTAATTAGCGAATCCTCAGAAAGCTACCTGAAGTGAAGCCATGCTTCACCCAGCTACTTGGGAGGCAGAGGCAGGAAGAATCCAGGAGTGTGAGGCCAGCACTTGCAGAGACACTTGTCTTGAAAACAAAACAAAAAAGACGGAGGGCTTGTCCTGAGTAGTAGAGCACTTGCTGAGCCCTATATTCAATCCCTGGAATACAGGGGGAAAGTAACGCGTCTCCTCTCTTGTAGAATACGTAATGGATGTGTTGATGGATCAGCACTTCACAGAACCTACTCCTATCCAGTGCCAGGGATTTCCATTGGCTCTTAGTGGCCGGGATATGGTGGGCATTGCTCAAACCGGCTCTGGCAAGACATTGGCGGTAGGTATTATTAGCAATTGAAAATCTTTGACAGTGTAGTAGCTTACTATCACATACATTCCCAATTCTTAAAAGTGTAGTTCAAATAGTGTGGGCATTTTAACTATCAAATATTTTGGAGCACTTAAATGTTTAAATTTACATTGTATATCAGCAGTAGTCTGTCTGGGTATTATTACTGGTCTAAGTTAGAATTTGATGCAAGATTGTTGTTCTTCCTCTCCAGTATTTGCTGCCTGCAATTGTTCATATTAACCACCAGCCATACTTGGAAAGAGGAGACGGCCCAATTGTAAGTGTTCTTTCTGGTGGTTGCATGTGGGGCACTAGGCTTTATATATATATTGTCTTGGCTTCATTCTTAAGCCCGTCCTCCATAGGTGGGAGTGGTGTTACAACTGAGCTCATGTTAGAACCAGGTTGTGTGCTGGACAAGCTTTGACCACCCAGCTGAATCCAGCTGTGCCTGTGGGCTCTCAGTTACTTAGTGGTGCTGTGAGGGAATGCAGAGGTATGGGCAGGGGTTCCTGCCCTGTGGAAAGTCAGGCAGGATGAATAGTAGCTACTGAGCCGGGCATCAGTAGTGCACACTGTAATCCTAGCTACTCAAGGCTGAGATCTTAATTTTCCAGTCCAGGCAAGGAAGTCCATGAGACTTCTCCAGTTAGCCACCAAAAAACCAGAAGTGGAGATATGGCTCAAGTGTAGAGCGCTAGCTTTTAAGACACTTTAACTTTTGGTTTGTTCTCCATCACTTAATACTGCTTGCTTTTTTTTTTTTTCTTCTTGGTGCCAATCCTGATAGATTAGATAGTATATACTTGTTTGTGCCTAATGTATCTAGCAAGGAATGCCAACTCTGCTATTTACTTATCCATCTGCATTTCTTGCTAATAAGTTATCCATAGTTTTTGTGTGGGAATATTTTAAAGTCGTTCAGTCATTTTGTGAAAGTGTGTAGTTGAATGCAGATAGTGCAGTGTAGTCAATGTAGACAGCAGAGGCTCAAGGCTTTGAAGCGGGCCACTGAGAATGCCGGTATCGTCCCCATGCTAAACGATGAATCCTGTCATTTGCCACACTCCCTGCCCTTCCAGAACCCTCCCTATCATGTACTTTGGAAAATCTGTAGATTAGGCAATAGGCCAAGAATTAGAAGAGTGGTTTTTTTGGGGGGAGGGTGTCTTAAGTGATTTTTGTTGTCTTTTTCCCTGCTGCAGTGTCTAGTGCTGGCTCCCACCAGAGAGCTTGCTCAGCAAGTACAGCAGGTAGCTGATGACTATGGCAAGTGTTCCAGGTTGAAGAGTACATGCATTTATGGAGGTGCGCCTAAAGGTCCCCAGATTCGAGATCTGGAAAGAGGTAATAAAAAATTAATGTCTTGGAAGTGGCACTGTGGCTCAAGTGGTAGAGCACTCACCTTGAGCTGAAGAGCTCAGGGACAGCGCCCAGGCCCAGAGTTCAAGCCCCACAACTGACACGCACACAAAAAAATTAATGTCTTGAGTAGTGAGTTTATGTACCTTACCAATTCCTGTGAATGAAGTTGAACAAAATAGTGGGGTTCTCGTGAGGGCATAAAGCGTTTTCAGGAGCTTAGAAATGCTCAGATTCTATCTAGTCTTTAGGAGAGGAACCTCATAGCTGGAAGGTTTAGTAGGACCTGATGGTTGTACGTGAACCGGAACTGTGTTGTTAAATTCAGTTACTGCTCTGTAGCATTGACTGTGTGACCACCAGGGCTAGATCTTTGATTTGATTTTGCTTCATAGGTGTGGAGATCTGTATAGCTACTCCTGGAAGACTGATAGATTTTCTGGAGTCGGGAAAGACAAACCTTCGCCGATGTACTTACCTTGTGCTGGACGAGGCTGACAGGATGCTTGATATGGGCTTCGAACCCCAGATCCGTAAAATTGTTGATCAGATCAGGGTATGGAAGGCTAATACTTAGCTGTCTTTATGTATTTGGACTTTCATCCAGATCCTTAGCCTAAAAGCAAGCCTTTCTTTTTATGCTAGCCCGATCGGCAGACACTGATGTGGAGTGCAACATGGCCAAAGGAAGTGCGACAACTTGCTGAGGACTTCCTCCGAGACTACACCCAGATCAACGTGGGCAACCTGGAGCTGAGTGCCAACCACAACATCCTTCAGATCGTGGATGTCTGTATGGAGAGTGAAAAAGACCACAAGTACGGAAGAGATTTCACTCTTTATTAGTACTTTTTTTTTTTTTTTTTGTCAGTTGTGGTGCTTGAACTCTGGGCTTGGGTGCTGTCCCTGCACTCTAGCTCAAGGTGAGCGCTCTACCACTTGAGCCACAGCGTCACTTCCAGTTTTCTGAGTGGGTAATTAGAGATAAGAGTCTCAGGGACTTTCTGCCCGGGCTGGCTTTGAACCTCCATCCTCAGATCTCAGCCTCCTGAGTAGCTAGGATTACAGGCGTGAGCCACCGGCACCCGGCTAGATTTCACTCCTTTGATAAATCTTCAGCCTTCCTAGTAATACTTGAAATTTTAGTTTAGTAGTTTTTTTTTTTTTTCTTCTTCTTCTTCCTTGGGAAAGGCTGGCCTTGAATTTGTGATCTTGCTGCCACAGCTTCTTTGAGTATTGGGAAAGTAAAGGTATATGTCACTGTACCTGGCTTGGGTGACCAGTACTTTTTTTTTGGTATGTTGTGGTGCTTGAACTCTGGGCCTGGGCCGCTGTCCCTGCGCTCTTCAGCTCAAGGCAAGCACTCTACTGCTTGAGCCACAGTACCACTTGCGGTTTTCTGAGTGGTTTATTGGAGATAAGAGTCTCAGGGGCTTTCGTGCCTGGGCTGGCTTTGAACCGTGATCCTCATATCTCAGCTTCCTAAGTAGCTAGGATTATGGGCATGAGCCACTGGCGCCTGGCTAACCAGTACCTTTTTTGAGGCCTGGAAACTTAAAAAAAAAAATGATTGCTGGAGCTGGGCACCAGTGGCTCAAACCTGTCACCTTAGCTGTTTAGGAGGTGGGGATCAGCGATTGCAGTCTACTTTGGGCATAATATAGTTCCTGAGACTCCACCTCACTCAATAGTAAAATGCAAGCAGAAGGATCACAGCAAAGGCTGGCCTGGGCATAAAATTAAAAAGCAGTTGAAAAGCTGGGAAGTTGTCTTAGTAGAGTGCTTGCCTCACATGCATGAGGCCCTGGGCTCAATTCCTCAGCACCACATAAACAAAAAAGCCGAGTCTCAAGTGGTAGGGCGCTAGCCTTGAGCTAAAGACCTGAGGGACAGCGCCAAGACCAAGTTCAACCCCCACAACAGACCCCACCCCCAAAATAAAGCAGTTAAAGCCAGGGGCACAGTTCAAAGCCAACCTAGGCAGGAAAAGTCCCAGCCCTTTATGTCCAATTAATCACCAGGAAACTGGATGTGGACCTTGGCTTAAGTGGTAGAGCACCAGCCTTGAATAAAACTAATGGGAACACCCAGGCCCTGACTTCAAGCCCAAGGGTGGCAAACAGTAGGAGTAGGGGGAGGACGAGGCCTAGAGAGAAGTATTGAAGTTGTGGAGCATCTGTAGCAGGTGCAGAGCCTTGCTTTTTTTTTTTTCACAATGCCTTTTCTTCTAGGAAGGTTACATTTGTATTTTAAGATCAGAGTGTTGCTTAGTGCTATGTCTTTTTTTTTCCCCCAAAGTTTTAAAGGTAATGTGCTGGGATTATAGGCATGTACCGCCATACAAAGCATGTATGTTTGGGAGTTACTGCAGTGATCCTCTGTATAATATCCAGAGAGATTTTTTTCTCTGATGACTGCATTGTCGGTCTTATTTTCAGGTTGATTCAACTGATGGAGGAAATAATGGCTGAAAAGGAAAACAAAACAATAATCTTTGTGGAGACAAAGAGGCGCTGTGATGACCTCACTCGCAGGATGCGCAGGGACGGGTGAGTACCAGACCTAAGCAGGGACAGCCTTGCCTTCCCTTCCCAGGAAGGGCTAGTTAACGTGTTCCTTCGGTTTTGTGGTGCGGGTCTTTGAGCTCCAGGCTTTGTACTTTGTAGACAGGCGTTCTACCACTTGAGCCATACCTCTAGTTACAAAGGTTCTTTTTATTTTTGGGGGGGGGGATCCGGTCGTGGGGCCTGAACTCTGGGCCTGGGAGCTGTCCCTCAGCTCTTAGCTCAAGGCCAGCGCTCTACCACTTGAGCCACAGCACCACTTCCGGCTTTTTTCTTTTTGCTTTTGTGGTGCTGAGGAATCGAACCCAGGGCCTCATGCATGCAAGGCAAGCGCTCTACCACTGAGCCACCTTCCCAGCCCACAAAGGTTCTTTTTATAGCTTAGTTTTCCTTTATTATTTTTGTTGGTGATGGGGTGATGGGCCTTGAACCTTGGGCCTGGGTGTTGTCCCTGAGCTCTTCAGCTCAAGGCAAGCACTCAAACACTTGAGCCATAGTACAGCTTCAGTTTTCTGAAGGTTAATTGGAGATAAGAGTCTCACCGAGTTTTCTTGCCTGGGCTGGCTTTGAACCAGGATCCTCAGGTTCCAGCCTCCTGAGTAGCTGGGATTACAGGTGTGAGCCGCCAGCACCTAGCTAGTTGTCCTTTTTTATTTATTTTGGATCCATTCGTGGGGCCTGAACTCTGGGCCTGGACGCTGTCCCTCAGCTCTTCAGCTCAAGGCTAGCGCTCTGCCACTTGATCCGCAGCGCCACTTCCCGGCTTTTTTCTTTTTGCTTATGTGGTGCTGAGGAATCGAACCCAGGGCCTCATGCATGCAAGGCAAGCGCTCTACCACTGAGCCACCTTCCCAGCCCCTAGTTGTCCTTTTTTAAAGCATTCTAAATTTTCTTTTGACAGTTGGCCTGCTATGTGTATCCATGGAGACAAGAGTCAACCAGAAAGAGACTGGGTCCTTAATGGTAAGTTTTTAAAGGAGGCATTTTCAATGAATTTTCCCCAAAATGTCAGGGTAAATATTTTGGATTTGTAGACCAAATAGTGGCTGAGCTCTACCAGAACTAGTCAAAGACAGAACAGGAAAACATAGCCAGGAAGCTTTATTCATAAAAAAATAGAATTTAAAAATGGTGCTGTACCAGATTTGACCTCAAGGCCTCGCTGAGGTCCTACCTTAGCATGTTCCCTGTAGTAGTCCTGTTACTTAAGGCCAGGCCATTGTGTGAACGGGAGAGGAGAGCACATACCTCAGAAATGAACAGCACTCACCAGAGGGAAGGGTTGCAAGTTTAAGTCTTCTCTGAGAGTGCATAACCTGGCTTTCATAGTGTGTTTTTGTTTGTTTGTTTTACAGAGTTTCGTTCTGGAAAGGCTCCCATTCTCATTGCCACGGATGTAGCCTCCCGTGGGCTAGGTTTGTATAGACAGGCGCCTCTGTCACTGGCTTATGTATCTTTTTGGTTTAAAGGTTTGTTTGCCATTTCAAATTTAGAGTTGTATACACATGTATTCAGTCAGGAGGAATGCAACTGTGGTCATCTCCCCACTCCCGCCCTCCTTTTTTATTTTTTTTTTTTATTTTTTATTCTTGGGTGAGTTTTTGGGGTTGGGTTTTTGTTTCCATTTTCTTTTTATTTTCAGTCTTCCTGCTCCTAACAAACAGGCTTTAGTCTGCAGCAAGGCCTAGGCATGACTGCTGAGTTAGAGGGAGAGGAGACATTGCATGGAACAGTGTAACTTCTCCTAGCTGGCTTAACTCTTAATTCCTGACTAGATGGAAGGAGCCTAAGAGAACTAGCTTCTTCAGTTATTCTTTTCCCATTACGATAGATAGGGAGAGGGTTGGTTCTGTGAATGCTTATTAAATAGGCTTTAATAAATACATAATGTACTACCTATTTAAATATGCCTTGCCCAGTATTACTGAAGTACAATACCACTGAGCAGTTACCCCTCCTCTCACCCATACATCTTAAGTTTTCAGTCCTTAATGATGTAAAAATAACCTGTGGTACTTTTATCCCATTATTTTGAACTAAAGTCTGACTCACAACTTTAATATTTTAAGGCATTTTAGCTGGGTATGGTGGTACATTCCAGTAATTCCAGTCCTCACGAGGCTGAGGCAGAAGGACTGTGAATTTGAGGCCAGTTTGGGACGGTATCAAGACCCTGTGTTGGAGGGGAGGGGTATTCTATCACAAGGAAATCTAGAAGATAATTGATAGGTGTTTAATTTCCTGCCAAGTAAGGTGAGAAGTACCATATGCCCTTATACTATTTAATATGAAGAGGATAGCATTCAAACGAATAGGGAAGTGATGGGAACCATTACCTGTTAGACTTCTCATTCCCTCCTTCAGAGGTGGTGGCCTACAGCCACGACAGGAAGCTGTCTCTGCCCTCCAAGGTCATGTCTTGGTCTGCCGTTAGATCTTGGGCCTGTTGGGAGAGGAGGCGGAGTTCTGAAAGCACTTTCCATCATAGCTTTCAGTAATGGTGTTTTTGTTTTTTTTTTAAAACAGGCTTGCTATGTGCTGGTAGCTTCTTTGTGCATCTTGCCTAGACAATTAAAAACATTTGTTCCATGTCCCCTGCATTTTAAATGACATCAATTGGCTACCATTAGAATAACTTAGACTCTCATCCCACCTCCCCTCGTCCACAGAGGGGACAGGAAAGGAACCCGAGTCTGTTTCTTGTTACGCAACCTCAGCTTGTGTTGGGCCCCTTTGTTCGCTGCCTTGTAAAAATCAAAAGGAGGGAGAAAACCCACCAACATGGCAGAATTCTGACCAAGGTCCTACAAGATCCTGGAAAGTGAAGGCTTCTACCTCACAGACAAGGGTGCGATTTTCAGCTGAGTCGCCAGGCCTTTTTTCCCTTCCCGCCGAGCGATGGTCTCTTAGGTGTTCCCTCAGGTAAGTTCCCGGATCCCATGATTTTCATAGTCATCTTCAGCCAACCACTACTCCCTGTCCACTGGGATTTTTTTTTTTAATTTCTCCTTTTTTTGTTGAACCTACACATTGTTGAACTAAAAGCATTGAATTGATTTTGTTTTGTTTTTTAACAGAAGCTTTGCTATCAACTGCAGATCACTCAGTACATGGCCAAGGCAAATCTCCACTGGCCCGAAGCCGCTCTAGATGAGCCTGTTGGCTAGTCGTAGACCCTCTCCTAGTTAGCCATCGAGACGCGGGCCTTGCCAGGGCTTCCTGGACCCAAGGTCCTCGTCCTAGGCAGCTGGCCAAAACATGAACGTATGTTTCAATCTCTTACCCTGCTACAGCCTCTCCTCTAAAGACAGCAAGATAATACTGTGGCAGTGCACAAATAACAGCAGGGCGCGCTTGCCTGGAGAAGCCAGATTCTGCGCCTGCTCCTTTGTGCCCTCGGCCAGCCATGTGCACACACAGGACATCTTTCTAAGCTGAAGAACTTGCACCCTGTCTGCCCCTTTTGAGCCCCTCCACAAGGGAACTCTTGGCTGCAGCCACACTGCTTTGCTGCTTCTGTGCATCCAAGGGCAGTAATTTTGGTTCTGCCTGCCACACTCACACTCGGTAACTCGGTGTGAGCGCTCAGGAGTGGTGTTGAGGCTCTGAAGATGTGGTCGTGAGCACGCATCGTCCCGCCCCTTACCTCCATCCACTCCTGACCTCTTTAAGATTTTTTTCTTTATGACATCCACGACTCTAGCTGGAGACTCACGCTGCCCCCTGTGATAAGTGCCTTCTCGTCTTTCTGGTGTGATTCAGGACTTTAGGGGTCAGTAACGACCGAGGAGCCTTTATTGTAATAAGAAACAGACCTAACGCCCCCTCTCCCCATGCCCGTAACAACAGCCAATTTTTTTTTTTTCTAATCATCTCCCTGTCCCCCTGAAATTAATCCAGTCTGGGCAATAGATGCAGTCTGACCCTTTGGATGTAACATTTTTTTAATAATTATTTTTTTCTACAATCACCCCAATTATCCTTGGGGGAGGCGTTGGAGGACCTGAAATTTTTACCCGAACCCAGGTTCTCCGGTGCTTGGCAACCAAATGGGGCTACAGAGAAGCATCTAAGCCAGTTCACAGAGCGAGCGTGTGTGGGGACTTCTCACTGCCACGGACCCTTGATGCATGCTCCCCGCGCTCCAGTGGTCCCGTGTCAGAAGGCGGAGTTTTCGAAAGGAGGCCGCCAAAAATAAAAGACAAAGAGACGGGATCGGCTGCAGCGGTTTCCCAAAGGAGGAGGGAGTGTGCATCGGTCTGGTAACAAACAGAGAATGTTTTTTAATTATTTATATCACAAAAAATCTGTGTTTTATCTAGGATATTTCCGGAATATTCTTTGTAAAATGCAGATTTTTTTTTCCACCAAACATTAGGATTCTGTTATATTCTTAAATTTGTTGGTTGAAGTAGGTAATCCACGTAGTGAATGCATTACACTAACATTTACACGCTTTCCGGTAGGTGGCTCAGCCCGGTCCCCAGCCGCAGACTGCATTAAATGTGTCTCATGTTTCAAGGGTTTTCCCTTTGTTTTTGGCAATCCATTTCATTACCTAGTTCCCATGGACAGTCTCTGATTGTGGAAACAGTACTTAGTTTGAAATAACCTTGAGTTGAGCAAAACAAAAACAAACAAAAAACCTTCAGAAGCTGGGCTTAGTAGTAGAGTGAAATTTTAGTGTAATGTGCTCTTGTGGCAATTGAAGGGGGACAAGTAATCCTGGGTGTCTGCAGAGGAAAAGAGGTGTGCTTTGGCGCTGATCAGTTTTGTAAACTTAAGAGCAAGGAAAGAATTAAGCTGAATGTTGTAAGTTACCTTGGGAATGTAGTAGTAAGGTACTGAAGCTCCTTTTTGTGTGTTGCTCTGTGACTGGTGCAAGGTAAGTTTATTGTGTTGTTGGTAGATTTTTGCCAGGCTTCTCCCAACAGAGTAGAAGTGATTTGACCCTGCGTCTTCTCAGAGGTCTCTGCTCTCATGCTGTGTACATCTGGCTCTGAGGAGGCTGGCGCAGCAGTGCGCAGGTCTGAAGACCATGGTGCAGCTCCTGCAGTAGATCACTTACTGCAGAAGTAGCAGGAGTTGGGATGGTCGAAACTGATTGCCTTAGGATTCAGAGCAAAGATGGGCAAGTCCCGCCTACGTCCCAAGAATCACTAATCCTCTTCTGCTCTGTTGGGATGAGTCTTTCATTTTTTGTTCCTGCTCAGAGTGGTTACTAATTTGATCTTCTCTCCTCTTGCTGTCATCTGCATTCGTGCTTCCCTCCTGTTGTGGGCACGTCCTTTGCCTTCTCTCTCTCTGCCACGTCAACCTACACACTGACTCGACATTGCCGCTGAAGACGTGGAAGATGTCAAGTTTGTGATCAACTATGACTATCCTAACAGCTCAGAGGATTACGTGCACCGCATTGGCCGAACAGCCCGGAGCACCAACAAGGGCACTGCGTATACTTTCTTCACCCCAGGGAACCTAAAGCAGGCCAGAGAGCTGATCAAAGTGCTAGAAGAGGCCAATCAGGCCATTAATCCAAAGCTGATGCAGCTGGTGGACCACAGAGGCGGCGGCGGCGGCGGGGGTAAGGGTAAATCCTGGAGTTTTCCAGGTACTGCCAAGATCTCTTTTCTGTTTATTTGTGCCTTGCTTTTTTAAGCCTGTGCAGTGTGTTGCTAGAGAGAATGTGGTGATGAAATGCTTAAGGTTGTTATTCATCACCTTTCCTTAAAGTCTTATCGCATGACTGTGCTACTTAAGCAGCCCAGCATTTTTGTCGATTACTAGTCTTAAACTGACGTTTCGATTTAGCAGGACTTGGCCTGTTTAAAATGAAGCTAAACCAGCCAGGTACCTGTAATGCCACATGTCTGTAATTCCAGCACCCCAGTGGCTGGAATGTTTAAAAACAGTTGTGCAATAAAGTAGGCTTCATGGCTTCCAGTTGGTTTTTTGTGGTGGTTTGTTTTTTGGGGGCGGTTGTGGGGCTTGAACTCCAGGACTGGGCACTGTCTCGAGCTTTGTCGCTCTACCACTTTGAGCCACTAGTTCTGGTTTTGTGGTGATTGAGAGCCTCTTGACTTTTTTTTGCCCCTGCTGGCTTCGAACTGCAATCCTTAGATCTCAGTCTCCTGAGTGGCAAGGCGCTATTGCCAAGTGCCCAGCAGCTCCCACTTTGATATAGTAAGATAGTTAAGATTGCAGTTTTTGGTGATTCTCAGGAAAAGACCCTAAAAGGTGAAAAGTGGAATAAAATACTGACTTAGCTTGGCCTGGCTACCAGCTGAAGGGAACAAATTGTACACTTCGTCCCCATTTAATTTTTTATATTATGCGTGGATCACATACCTGCCATTAAAAAATACCTGTACCCTCCCACCAGGAGGCCGCTCTCGATACCGGACTACTTCTTCTGCCAACAACCCCAACCTGATGTATCAGGATGAGTGTGACCGGAGGCTTCGAGGAGTGAAAGATGGTGGACGGAGAGACTCTGCGAGCTATCGGGATCGCAGTGAAACCGATAGAGCCAGCTATGCTAATGGCAGTGGCTATGGAAGTCCAAATTCTGCCTTTGGAGCCCAAGCAGGCCAATATACCTACAGTCAAGGCACCTATGGGGCAGCTGCCTATGGCACCAGTGGCTATACAGCCCAGGAGTACGGCGCTGGCACGTACGGGGCTAGTAGCACCACCTCAGCTGGGAGAAGTTCTCAGAGCTCCAGCCAGCAGTTTAGCGCCATAGGCCGGTCTGGGCAGCAGCCGCAGCCTCTGATGTCACAACAGTTTGCACAGCCTCCAGGAGCTACCAACATGATAGGTTACATGGGGCAGACGGCCTACCAGTACCCGCCCCCGCCCCCGCCCCCTCCCCCCTCGCGGAAGTGAGCCCTTTGGCAAATGGCTCCCACAAGCTAAAACATCTAAAGGAACGCTGTCTTTCCTTTTTTTTTTTCTTTTTTCCCCCTGCTCTTCCACACTTCTCTTTCATTATTTTTCCCCCTCCCAACCATTGTGATTGTCTTTTCATGCAGATTAGTTAGAACTCACTGCCAGGTTTCTTCTGCCCACCAAAAGTGATCCAGTCTTCAGTAACAGGTTTTGTAAAAAAAATATATATATATATATATATACACACACATACATATATATGTCTGACTGGAGGAGATGAATTTCCCCCAACTTGCATGTTGAGGATATTTGAGCTAGTTTTCCTCTTCAAATGTAAACCTAATGGCCCTTTTGTGGGAGCCCTGAGTTGGGGGGTGGGAGGGCTGACTTGGGCAGGAGGAGGAGGAGGAGGAAGGCATCTGTGCTCTAAATTGCTCTCAGAACTGGGTTAGAAAGCCGAGAGGGATTTCCCATAATGGGTTTACCATTGCTCAAGTTTGATCAGGGTTCAGGCCCAGATGACTGAAGACACTGCTTTGTCATTGTCATTAAGGATGTGTTTTTAATTTAAAACCACCAGTTGATGGTATTGGTTTGGCATATGGGCCCAGGCAACCAAGGACCATCTATGAAATTCACTTTCTAGCCAGACTGCTGTGAGCAAATGAACATACAGAAATGCTCACAGAAATGCGTTCACCTGCAGTATAAAAGGCACCTTTAATTATAAACAATGTACTCGAAGTGGGCAGATGATTTTCCTTTTAAACTCAGTATTTGTAGAAGTAGAATGAGAGCAACTCTTTGCCGGTGCCACTGCCCATTTGACCAAATTATCTTGAGCAAGATTTCACTGTGCGCTGGTCTCCGCCAGTCCCGCAGTGCTTTCTAACGACTGGTGTGCTGGTGTGCGTACTCTCCACAGGTAGGTAGTGTCTAGGACACGCTCTGGGGGCCTTTTTATTTTGCCTCCATCTGAAGGTAGGTGAGTTGACCCCCTGCTGGAAGTACTGCCTTACCCAGCTGCCAGCCACAGCAGATGGACCTGGAAAGCATTCTATGCTTCTGTGTTCACTGTGCCCAGGTAGGGCAGCAAGACAGTCGGCTCCCAGCCTTTGCCTGACCCTGTGTGGAAGGAGGGCTCCGCCTCCAAGCCCCCTCCCTGTGCTTCCGGCGGCAGTTAGAGGAGGAAGGCCCCCCAGCTGCCTTCTTGGGCTGTGGCTTTTGAGTGCTTGCTGGTTTGTAACACCTGACCATTAAGATGATCTCTGAAGGTTTTATTTTTGTTTTCCCTTTAAAATCCTTCAGGGAGAGAAAAGGGATGGTTTCTGAGGGGTTCTCAAAGTATGATTCAATGTGCAACAGATACAGGTAGGTTGTCAGCATAAGCTGAAATTGTGCATGTGAAAACTTGGACAGCCTTTTTTTTTTTTGTTTTTTTCCAACTTTCTTTTTCTTTTCTTTCCCCATCTTGTAGAAGTTGAGGCCGAGTGGGGAGGACAGTAGGCATAGAAGAAACTAAAACTGCTCTGTGCTTGCAACCAAAGTGCCGTGTTTCTCTGCTCCCAAAACATGTCTGAGCACTGGCCATGCACGCTGTTGTGGACATTTCTGCAGCCACATTCAGGTTGATCCCCCCCCCCTTTAAATAGATTAGGTCCTACTCTATGGCTCTCAAACACATCTGTTTCTGGGACAGGCTGTCTGGGTATGTGAGCAGTGTAGTATCTGAGTCGCTTGCTTGCCCTCTTCAGTGAGGAATGTTGTGAACAGAAAATAGCAGTGTATTGGCCATTGCAAAAGCTCTTTGTGGCCTGAGCATAGCTGTGAGGTTGTGCTCTTGAGTTGAGAGTAGGAGTGGTGAATCCTGGCTGGCTAGTGGTAGTAGTGGAAAGGGCTTCAGTATTAAGCCAGGGGCTGCTGCTCCCCATCCTCCCCCCCCCCCAACAGTTTATTGTGCAGACCTCTCAACTAAAAGGTTAGTGGCTTTTGCTTGGGATCAGTGCTCTCATGTCCTTGCTGGTCTCTGAACACATTCCTGTCGTGTTAAGACTTGAAAGATTTGTAGGCGTGTGATGTTGAGGCACAGGAGGCAGGCTAAGAGCAATGTTACTATTCTTAGTTTGTAAATTGTCCTTTTGATACCATCTTGTTTCCTTTTGTAGGTATAAATAAAACACTTGACAATACGGTGTGAGCTGTTTATTCTCTAAAGCTTCTGAATAGTTGCTTGTCCTTAACACTACTTTTGCTTCAAGACAAAACTTGAGTAGACAGCCCACGTAGCACCTGGTGGGACCGGCTGACCTTAGTGTAGATTGGTCCTAATGTGAGACAGTTTGAGGCACAAGACTAAGGATACCTGGGGATGAGCGCTTAGTGTCCAGCTCCTCAGAAATTGATGAGCTTAAAGGGGAGGCACGAAATTAATGCTTGCCAAAAATGGTCAATTTGGTTTGCTTGTGCTTGAATGTGATAAGGAAATGAACTGTGACTGTCACCTGCAGTTGACACTCTGTGTGTTTCCTGTCCCTAATGCTCCAGCTGATCACTTGGTCTGGCTGTTCTTTTGCTCTGGAGTGTTCATAGGGTGGTACTTGAGCGGGATTAACAAGGCCATGGTGGCTAGACAAATGTGCTGCACTCTAATCCACACAAGTATTTTTTTCACTAGTACATAGGGTCCCAAATCCTGCATCTGTCAGTGTCCTCCTTACAGTGTTGATCATCTCTGGGAGTCCTCAAATTGGCATAGGAAGACTTAACTTCTTTCCCTTAAGGACTGGAAAAAAAAAAGTGGAAATGAACTTAGAATTTTGGCTGATTAAAAGGCCGTTTTATGACTGATCTCGTCTCCACATGTAGCTGTGAGCAGGTGTTGAGGATTTGGAGTCATGAGGCTCCCAGCTCCCATCTTGCGCGTGCTGACAACCCACCCTCACACCGCCCTCACGTGCTAAACTCTAGGTCTCTAGTCTCAGCTTCGCCTCCACTCAGCCCGTTTTGTCCTTATCTCCACCAATTGCTGGTAGCAGCCACCGTGGTTTGAGCTCCACCTCACGTACCTGAGCCACACATTGGGGGTGTTTTGGAAGGCTCAAGTTCTCCAGGTCTTACCCTTCTGGGTATCTTAGGATTGCTAGTATAATTAGTGGGTTGGTTTTTTTCCAAGTGACCCTGCCATCCTGTTCCTCTGGCTATTGTGGCTCTGTGGGAAATCGCCGTGGCTGGGCTGAATCTCTGGTGGGTACTCCAGTTCTTTGGTTCCTCCTGACTGCCTCCCTAGTGCTGGCACTAAGCATGCACCATTATATCTTCTTGGAACGCCTCCTAAACGTGCCCAGTCAAGCATATCAAATGTCACTGGCTTGCACAGGACACACTACTGGGTCTGCTTCTGCCCCCGCACCAGCACTTTACTGAAAGCCATAGGGGGAAGCTCCACTGGAGTCTGGGTATCGAGCAGGTGTGTACCCGCAGCACTGCTTAGCCTACCTTTGGTCACATACAAGTAGAAGAAGTCACAGTAGAAGATGGTCTGCACTACTCCTGACACCACTGCAATCTGGTCATAGAAATTCTCCGTCTGGTACCGCCTGATCCAGTTGGCCAGGTAGAGCAGTCGGTAGAGCCCCAGGAAGAACAAGTAATGGGTGGTGATGGTCTCAGCCTCTCCTGTCTTGCTGATCATGAAGAGCTGGGGCAGGATGGCCACTGACTCAAGGTAGATGGAAAAAGTCCAGAGGATCTGCCCAAGAGAAGCAGAGGAGGCTGAGGAAGCTGGGCAGGACAGAGGCTTTAGGGGGCTATAAATGCTGACCAGATGTGTTTACCAGAGCAAATGGCCTTTTGTTGTTGGGGGTGGGGGGACTTGAACTCGGGCTGGGCGCTGTCCCTGAGCTCTTGCTCAAGGCTAGGTTCTACCACTTCCAGTCACTAGACTTCCAGTCTAGTTTTCTGGTGGTTAATTTGAAGAGTCTCAAATCTTCCTGCTTAGGCTGGCTTTGAACCATCATCTCAGCCTCCTAAGTAGCTAGGATTACAGACATGAGCCACCAGCACTTGGAGGAGCTTTTTAACTTTTATGGACATGTGCTCATTTACAGTGCTGGAGATCAGTCCAGAGCCTCAGGTGCGAGCTCTCTGCTGTTGGCCATATCCAAACTTGCATACTGCAGCTCTACCCTTGGAGCTCTATACATATGAAATGGGTGTGGATGTGGGTGTGTGTGGGTACTGCGGTGTGAGCACAGGCCTGGGCACTTTTCCTTAGCTACTTTGCTCATAGCTGGTACTCATCTACTTGAGCCACAACTTCCATTCTGGCTTTGTGCTGGTTGGTTGGAAATACAAACCTCATAGGTTTGTCTACCCAGACTGGCTTCAACATGATCCTCAGATCTCAGCCACCTGAACAGTCCAGATTAGTAGGTGGGAGCCACCTGCATCTGGTTGGAATTTGTAGGGGGCTGGTGGAGTGGTAGGGTCCCGGGTCTTGAACTCGGGGCCTGGGTGCCATACCTGAGCTTTTTGTTACTCAAGGCTAGTGCTCTACCACTTGAGCCATAGCTCTACTTCTGTTTTTTTTTCCCAGCTGGCTTCAAACCACAGTCCTCAGACCTCAGCCTCCTGAGTAGCCAGGATTACAGGTGTGGGCCACCAGTGCCCATCTTGGGATATAATTTTTTTTTTTCCTCCTAGTCATGGGGCTTGAACTCAGGGCGTGGACACTATCCGTGAGTTGCTTTTTTTTTTTGCTCAAGGTTAGCATTCTACCACTTGAGCCACAGTGCCACTTCCAATTTTTTCTATTTATGTCGTGCTGAGGAATGGAACCCAGGGCTTCATGCATGCTAGACAAGTGCTCTACCCCCAAGCCACATTCCTACCTCAGAATGTAATTTTCTTAAGATTGCAAAATAGTGAGTCTACATCAGGATCTCCAAAGAGGCTGCTGCCACCAAGGCTACCACCCAGGCCTGGACTAGAGATCTGCTAGTCTGGGACACAGCAGCATGATTACTACAGGCCAGCCTCCCCCACCATGTGGAGCTCAGTGACCCGCTCTTGGGCGATGGGTACAACTTTAATGGCCTAGCATCACAGGCAAAAGTGAGGCAGAGGGGCAGCCCTGCACTCGGGGTTGGGGCCGAGCACCTCCTCACCTCCAATGGTGTGAAGCTGTAGTTCTCCAGGAAGGAGAGACCGATGACTGGCACCAAGAGAAACTCCAGACGGAAAGTGTCATTCTCAATGTCAAATGTCTTCCGAAATTTCCCATAGATCATGTACACTGTGACATAGGCACAGAGGAGAAAAACCACCTAAAAAGAGAAAGAAATGGAAACCAAGTTTTTTCCCAGCCTCGGGGCAGTGTCTTTTTTTTTTTAAATTATTTATTTATTTATTTATTTAGGGTCCGGTTGTGGGGCCTGAACTCTGGGCCTGGGCGCTGTCCTTCAGCTCTTCAGCTCAAGGCTAGCACTCTACCACTTGAGCCACAGCGCCACTTCCCACTTT